TATAGTTCGAAGAAATGATTCTAAATTATATATAAGTGTATCTAATGATATAACGATCTGTTGGCTTATTATATAATTTACGATATTTGTACTACAATTTACACTAGAAGAGAAAAGAATGTCTAGTCGATTGATGGAGAAAAGAAGGGATAAACGTACGTTATGGATTTTTTCACAATCACTCGCGTTCCGGACTTCGTGACGATATGATCCGCAAAGAAGATCAGTATTTTAGCGTAAACAGAATTCTGCTGCTCACTATCGGCTTATGGCCCTACCAACAATCCAACTTCACCAGATTTCAACATATTTTTATCTCTGCTATATTCACAACGTTTATTACATTTCAGGTAAGAAAATATCATAATATTGCAAATCATGATAACTAAATCGCACACTATGTATAAGTTATCAAATGGCAAGTTTTTACTACATTTTATTTGTCTCATTCTGTGTTATGCAATGATATTTGTATTAAATATATGGTGGTAAACATTGACAAAAAGGGAACCAGCTCGTATTACCTTGACCCTGACATATATCACTCTTATGAATAACCTTCGGAAGGTTTACGCCTTCTTTATCTTTATTGCTCGTTCTTTATTAAAAAGTTGTTAACATATACATGGTGTGTCTGGAAAGTAATGAGAATAATTTTTTTACGCTCTTTAGGCTGCGTGAGGAAATTGGGGATCGATATAGTTGAGAGGGAATCTCAGATATACAGTCGGACTCTCTTCAGTTTCAAACAGTCAGTACGTTACGGAAGTGCACTCTTGTTTTTCACTCTTGTCGCGGACGACGCTGTCTTCAACATTTCTAACGTTTCTGAGAAGCAGTTTTTCCAAGTTCCACGCAAAATTTAATTGCGTAACGCTGCTTGACGCTCCGTTGCATTTTTGTCTGCGAAAGAGCGAAAAGCAAGGGTGCACTTCTGTAACATGTTCGAAAGGTTCGAAAGGACCGTTCGGGCTCAACTGACGAGGGTCCGACCATATACCTGAGATTCCCCGTCAACTACCTCGACCTCCACTTTTCTCCCACAGCCCTTTTAGGGAGCGTAAAGAAATCATTCTCATTACTTCTCGGACACACCATGTATAAGTGAAAAATATAATAGTTTATGTCAATATTAAGGGAAGTAATTTGCTGATATGTGTGTATAAACAGTACACATGTAGGGCTTCGCTTTTCTCCCTGCAACAGAGGTGAATGGGGTGGATTACTGTTCGCGTGGAAGGTTGAAAACCCAAACCGTACAATGATAGACATCGTTTCGCCCTGTAAGCAGGGGTGAGGTGGGATAGGATGGACTTCGCTTTGCGTGGACGGTTCTCTGGACAGCATTGTATCAACTTTCCATACAAACCAAAGTCCACCCTCATCCACCTCTGCTGCAGGGGAGGGGCACAGCCCCTCTTCACTGTCTATATGTGTACTTTGTATATACACACATATCAACAAATTACATCCCTTCGCACTGATACAAACCGTTATATTTCTTAAACTGTTTTATTAATAATTTTTTCATAAACAACGAGCGACGGTTAAAATCTTCTGAAGGTTACTCAGGAAAGTGACCTTTATAATATATGTCAAGGTCAAGGTTACAGGCCTTTGGGTCCCTTTTCGTCAATGTTTACCTACATATTATAACTATTATTTATCAAAGATATGAAGAAAATTAATAAAATTGATTATTAACAGTTGACAGCATTTTTAACACTAAGATGTACTTCGGAACTCTTTATGAAGGTTTTGTCTTACTTGTGTCACTTCACTAGTCCTGTAATAAAATATAACGTTTTCTATTTTAACATCGAAGGTGTAAGTTAATCGCTTATGAAATATTTGTTAAACGAGATAACTTTTTTGACTAGTTAATTTTTAAGATATTAAAATATTTGCTTTGATGGATGCAAAAGTTGTTGAAATTACAGGTGAAGGATTTATTAATACAGCTTCAGCACATTCATAACAAGCTAAAAAATAAAAATGAAATTGCTATCATGAAAAAATATGACTGCACTGCAAAACATTATGCGGTTGCACTTACAAGTAAGACAACTTTTATTGTCGACTTTGGATGTAATCATATTTATAATATTATATGTAAGCTATCAAGTAAAAAGAAACGATTTTGACAGATAATATTTTAATGCTGACTACACACACACACACACACACACAC